GCCTCTTTTACCTCTTTTTTGTTGGACCGATCCACTTCTCGAGACTGAGAGAGAAGATTTAGAAACTCACTGATGATGCCGAAGCAAGTTTCACACAGCTGATTAAGCAGGGATTTCATTACTGTCTGACCTTGACGAGAGCAGAGTGGAGGTAAATGTTGTGAGGCATGATGACGGCGCCCACGATGCCGACGGCCTGAGTCAGCTGGACGGGTCCGCAGCCCTCGCAGTGCGGCACAAACATCCCCTTCAGCAGCTGGCCTTGGTCTGGACCCACTGTTACATACTGAAAAGGAAGCAAAGAGTGATTTCAAAAGTAAAACATTTAGAAGATGTAAATTAGGACGAACCTGAAGAGACCAGAGTTCAGAGTGAGTGTTGGGTGGCAGATGTCAAGCTTGGTACAAACATTCATGTGATGTTTAGAGGAAAAATCTTAACACGGTGATCAAAAGATTTCAATGCGACATTTGTGGTTTTCAGTGAAGTCTTAATAACCTGAAGCTCATGTGTTGTGGTCCCAGTTTTGTTTTTTTGTATTTATACAACTTTGATTCCTCTTTTGTTGAGTTTCCCACATTCTTCTGTTCCTAGTATTCGCAGTGTTTCCCTGTCTTTCCGTTCCTCTGTCTTGTCTACGGGATTACTGCCTTTCTCTTGTATTTCCTGGAGTCTGTCATCTTGTCGAGGTGTCAGGGATGTTGTGACATTTGACCAAAACAATATTCCCCACTATGACTACTGATTATGCCAAAAAATCATAATCATGATCAGTTTGATAAATATCTCTATTTTCTTGTTTTAATAATCGATGGAAGCCGAAAGTCCATCCATCAATTCCTCTTCTAGAGAAGCCTGGACGTCCTCCAGCTCATCCAGGGGAACAGTGAGGCATTCCCAGCCAGCTGAGAGACATAATCGCTCTCGCGTGTCCTGAGCCTTTCCCTCCTACCTCCTACTGGAAGGACGTGTGGAACACCTCAGCTGGCTCCTTTCGATGTTGGCAGCAGTGGCTCTACTCTCAGCCTCCACCACCCTTTGGAGAAAGCTCATTTCCACCATTTGTACCATCTCATTCTCTCAGTCACTACCCAGAGCTTGTAATCAGAAGTGAGGGTAGATTTAAAGTCATGAGTGTGATTGCACCGGGGCAAGAACATTTCTGAACACATATTATTGAATGAGGTCTATTGTCTTGATATTCTTCAGATCCAGGGACTTCCAGGTAGTATTAAAAATATTTTGCTTACTTTTCCCCCATTGACATGTTGTGACCTGCTGATTGAGAGACCCCCCCCGCCAAACTCATTTCCAGATAATCGTGTGTAAGTGTTTATACCTCATATCCAAATGTGATCCCCATGATTGTAATGAGGAAACCAAAAAAGGCTTCCAGCTTTCTCAGACCTGCAGAGTAAAAGAAAAAGCGGCGTGCTTCGTTTATTGCTGACATGCCGACGTACAGTTTGAAAGTGATTAATCCAACCTACCGTACTTGTCCAAGAAGAGGAAGACAAACGTGTCAGTGATGGTGATGAGGACACCCCCCCATAAGGGGATCCTGTGGATAAACGCAAACAACGGAAAAGATCATCGCCAAGGAAGTAATCGACTCATTTTACGGCAATCATCAAACTGCGACTGAGTCCCAGTGGCCGTTAAACTGATGCTTAGTCTGTTTACACCACCTGCCAGAGGAGAGGAGGTTGAACGCGATGGCGCAGCCGATGACCTCCTGCATGTCTGAGCCGATGATCGCCAGCTCCACCATCACCCACAGGATGATACGAGGCACCTATCAGAGGCAGGCAGTGTTTACAAAGGTCTGAGCTGACGTAGAATTCAGTTTGCGACACATCCGGCATGTGAGGAAACCTTTTATTGTTGGAGATTTTTACTCTGTGGCACAACTACTGCTTCTTACAGTGTTTGGGAATTCAGCCGTTTTATCAGCTTGTCCGTCACCTGTAAAGCACTAAACAGCATGAATGGTGCCGTATTTACTGGACTTTTATTGAATTAGTATCCAGCAATCTCCTGACAATAAAAGTCAGGACATTTCGCCCTCTGCTGCTTCAGTTGGTCATTGCCGTCACGCTGCTCACGTGGATAAATGAAGGCCTACTTTTATGTCTGAGCTCTTCTCTG